AGCCTGGCAGGAGGGAGTTTTTATAGCCCAAATCTAATGGGGCCTCTGGGTCTGCAAGCTGCCTTGTTGGCCCAAGGAGGGGTTAAGTGTTCAGCCTTGAGCAGGGTTGAATGTTCAGACTTGAGGCAAACAGGTGATAAAGGACCAGATAGAGGGGGGTTTGAGTGCGTGGGCTATCTTGCAGCCAACATCTGTTCAGCCTGCCCTGTAGACAACACAGTTCAGCCTGCTCTGCACCAAACAGTGGGTTTTTAAGTTAGTGGCATGTAATGCACGAGGATGAATAGGAGTAAGAGGAGGAAGTATAAACCAGAGGTCAGAAAACAAAGATAGGAAGATTAATTTTAATTAATGCTTAAAATTGCAGATTTAATAATTCAGATGTGTTGGCTTCAGGGCAATAATTAAATAATTTGAGTTAAAGAGTTAATTTAAAGGATTAAAATTTGTTAGAATTATTTATAGTAAACCATGGCAAGGAGAAGAAAATTCTTGTTGAATCTTTGGTTTGGATTTCATTGGAGTTTGGATATTTAGCAGATGTCCACCAGTCTTTGTCTGTGGATCTCTCTCTTCAGTTGCAGGTGTGCAGGAGCCCATTACCAACTTGTAAAGAACCTATTACTAGCAGCTTCTGGTTTGTTAGCCCAGGGGCCTGCAGCTGATTGCTTAGAGGGTGCAGTGTTGTGGCTGGCCTGTCTCTGTGGCATGCAGTAGTTCAGGATGCAGGCTGTGGAGTTCCCTGTGATTGCTGTGAGTCACTGTACACTTGTTCCCCTCTACAGGATCCTTTTCATGATAGTGAAGATCTTGTTGGCTATCTGTGAGTGCAGGAATTCTGTTTGTGGATTTTCCACCATTGTACCATGGTGCAGAAATATTCCACCAACTGAAGTCACTCTCTGAGGTACCATAGTTGAAAGTTCCAGGTGGTTCACCTAAACTCTAGTTTCCACTGCCCCACATTGTGAATGTTGGCTGTTGATTCCCTGTTTTCTATGTCTTATGCAATGTCCCACAAATATCCAACTAATGTCCTTTCACTTGTGTGTTGTGATTATGTGTCAGGCAATGCATCAATTAGGGCTGGAATTCATAACTTTCTGCTGCTTAGATTGGTAATGTTCCACTGAATGTCTGTGTCACTGGATATTCATGCATCTTCCCTCTGGTATGGCCCCATAATCCCGGGGATTGCCATAGTTTTCCCACTGTATCTCCCCCCAGTTCAGTGTTTGGGGCATTGTGAATCTTCTACTCTTTGTTTGAGGCCATATTGCTTCATTGCTGTCTCTGTCTGAGTTGAGCAAGCAGACACTGCAGTGGGCTTTCTGTCCTTGCCTGGGTTGCAGAGCTGGGCTAGGTATACTTCACAGCATCTGTCCCCAACAGGCCATTCATTCCCCTTGTTTGTGGTGAGTGTAAAGGATAGGAGGTTTCAGTATATTTGGCTCCTAATGGTCCTTCTAGTAGTTATTCTGGCTGGATTCTTAAGCTGTCTCATTGCAGGGGACTTTTCCTCAGGTTTAATATGCAGCTGTCTGGGCCTGGGAAGATGATATGCTGATTTAAGAGGGTGACTAGACTACTAAGGGTTCTACAGCATGGCTTCAGAATTCTGGTTTAGGTTTCTTTTCACAATTTGGTTTTAAGCTGTTTGCAGTGTTTTAAGAATGCTTCTGTTAGCATCACACTTAAATTTTGCCTGTCTTTTCAGTTGTTTTTAAGTGGGTGAGCCTAAGTTTTCCTACCACTCATCTCATCCCCAGGTGGTTCTTTGGGGTTAGGACACTCAGAGTTTGTTTTCTACTTTTAGCCTATCTTCCACTCTCTCCAGCTCTCAGACTTTGCAATATCCTTCTGCAGTCTTGCTGGGCACAAATAACAGAGCTGCCAAAGTAGCAAAGTAGCCGGGGGCATGCCTGAGGCAGCAAGACCTGCTCCATTGCCTGACAGTAAAGGTCAAATATACAATAAAATCAATCCAGCATCACAGCAATTATATATAGCTTAACTCAAATCATCATCTCAATGGTTTGCTGGCTTCACATTTCAACCATTCCCTCTGGCAAATGCCAGGCATCATTCTGACTGGGCTGTGGCTCTTAACAGTATCCAGTCTTAGATTTCACAGAGGCTCATCTGACAATGTGAATTTTCAGAAAGATAAAATTGCAAGCCTCTCAACGTCACACTGCATCTTGAGACAAGAACACTACATCCTGGCTCCACAATCTAGCCTTAATGGAAGTTAGAGGTCAAAGGAAGAATGGTGCATGCATTTCAGATCATAACCTGCTATTACATTGAGTCTTCTTAAAAACTGAAATTCTAGGTGCCAATACATTATAAATTGTGTGAGATTATTCCTAATGAGATATATTAATCATGGAACACAAAGTCCTGTTGTGTATACCATGTACCCAATATGTGTTGTTCACAGAAGCAAGAAGATCTAAAATTTTATGAAAATCTTAATACATCTACATTTGCAGTCTTCTTCATAAAGAGACTTGCATGATAACTGTCCATGTGAGTAGCAAAATAAAGGTAAAGAATAAGTAGATATAGGATTGCTATGGGTTGGAGAAATGAATTTTGAATGTTACTTAAAGGGAGCATTGCTCATTTTTCTAAGTTTGGGGCAGAAATTCTGAGTACATAGATTTTTCCATCTTTACAAAGCTGCCTCTCCAGAGCAATCTTAGAAACATTTTGTCATTTCTGTTTTCCTTCTGAATGAGTTTTTCAACCATAGTTTTTAAAATTATCATTCTATATATTTTGAGGGTTTTTTTATTTGTAATTTGTTTTTTAGGTCTCCCATCAGTGTCTATAAACTCTAGCCCCACTCTTATTGGATTAGAGTGGATTTGGTCCTAGGTATTTATGGTGGATCTTTCATAGGTGATGTGGTTAGGGTTAGGTGTCCTCTACCACTTCATGTGTAAGTCAATGTAAGACATTTCAGAGGTAAAATGATTAGATTATGGGAGCTAAACATGATCATTGATGGACTAACTGGATGGTAACTGTAGGCAGGTAGGGTGTAGCCGGAGATGGTGATCAATGAGGGCATGACATTGGATTTTATATTTTATCCCAGGTTAGTACAGCACTTTGTTTATGTCTCTTTCTATATCTCTCTCTGTCTCTGTCTCTCTATCTCTCTTTCTCTTTCTCTCTCCATATTCCTCTCTCTCTACATTTCCCTCTCCCCTCCCTTTCTTTGCTCTTTCTTGTTGTCATGCCCCGAGGTGCTTTCTTGTGCCACACACTTTCACCATGACATTCTGCCTCACCTTGGTCTCCAAGCTACGGAGTTAGCCAGTGGTAGACTAAACCTCAGAAACTGTAAACCAAAATAAACCTTTCCTATTCTAATTGTTCTTGACAGGTTTCTGATCACAACCATGTAAAAGCTAATCAAAATGATGGGATGCTTCTTTAAGCTGGTGGATGAACTCATACCACTATGTCTTATCCATGTCAAGATTCATTCACATAGGACAATTATTTACATAGTAGATATCCTTTTGGCTTTTGTATAAAATCTGTGTTCACTGTATTCCTACAAAGATAGACACTGTCTAGGAGAGCCTTTACTAGAAAATAAGTTACTGTTAAGTATGTTGGTAATACAAAGTTCAGAGGAGAAAAAATAATAGGTTTCTTTATTGCTAGATCCCAATGAGAAGTGGACAGCATGCCCCACAGTGTTTTTAGGAAGTCAGACATAAACCCCACAAAACAGGAACAGTGAGAAAAGAGAGAAACAAGAGACACCAGTGTGCTATAGCCTTCATGTGGCACAGGATATTTTGAGCATGTTTCTCAAGGAGAGTCATAATTGGTGAGTTCCAGGAAGCAAACACATTTTACATGGAATCACACTGTATATGAGAATGGGTCACTGGAATATCTCATCATCCTTGTAGGAAATTGGAGCCAGCAGACCTGTAAACTGCCACATCTACCTGTCCCCAGGAAGTTGTCACCATGAGGTGGTTTTATGAAGTGATGCAAGATTAATAAATATATACATTACTATAAGCTCATACTAGCAATTTGTTTTATTCATATGTGAAGCAGTTTTTGTAGTTCTTTTCCTCCTCTAAGCTCTTTAGAGGAAGAGAAAGAGAACTACAAACTGTTTCATGGATGTCTATACCAAATTTTTGGTATGAGCAAATTAGATATGTATGCAAAAATGTATGTCAAGGCAATGTAAAATTATTAGAATTCACTGCAGTTAAACTTGAAATTCTAGTAGTTCACTAATAACTCCATCTTTATTCCTGATGGAAGGTAAATAACATTGGTCAATTTATATAAAACCATATTTTAGAATGTTTTCTCAATAATAGATAATAATATGGCAGATGAGTCTTAATAAATAATAGAATTACTGAGAAATGGTAAGTTTCAGAGAAAAGTAAAGTATTCCATTGATCCAATAGTGTACATTTTCCTTTCTTTCCAATAAAGATACATCTTGAAATTGACAGTGTAGGAACACTGTTGGCTAGAAAGCTTATGGTGATTGTGATAGTGCTCAGATGCACATACATAAATTTAGTCTAAAAATCTTGTTTGTTAAAAATTAAATTATAAATCATGTTAACTTATGACTACACACACACACACACACACAAATCTCTTCTGTTGTCACCTTCTGGTGACTGTAACTTTAAAACATGTAGAAACAGTGTCCATAGAGTAGAAAGAATTTTGGAGAATATAGCATAAGTCTCTCAAGAATAGGCTTGGGAGGCTGAGACAGGAGGATTATGAGTTCAAAGCCAGCCTCAGCAAAAGTGAGGCACTAAGCAAGTCAGTGAAACCCTGTCTCTAAATGATATATAAAACAAGGCTAGGGATGTGGCTCGGTATTTAAGTGTCCCTGGGTTCAATCCCTGGTATCCAAAAAAAAAAAAAAAAAAGCCCAATCACCTGTGCTTCTGATTAATAGAGATAATGGTTAAGACAGGAATTGTCATGGGAAAGATGAGTCAAAATGTGGTTCATGAGAGTTTCATCTCAATGAGGAATATTAGAATACCTTTATTAATATTATATATAATAATATGTCTTTCTGTTTTTCATGCAATCATAGGAGATACAAAAGATAAATAACTACGTTATTATAAGCTCAAACTGGTTATTTTGAATAAATTTTAGATAAAAATTCTAAGTTACCTTGGCAATGTGGTGCATGTCTGTAATTTCAGCAACTTGGGAAACTGAGATACAATCATATGTTTAAGGCCAGCCTGAGCAATTTAAACGCTATCTCAACATAAAAAATAGAAAAGGACTGGGATTATAATTCAGTATTAGAGTACCTTCTGCATGTTTACTGAAAAAAAAAGTTATAAAAGTTACCTGTCTGGTTTTAAAAGTTTTATTCTTTCATTGTTAATGAAATGCATTTTTACATTTGATACAAATGATATATATTGCAGTTAGAAAAAACTGTCACTATGTCATGCAATCTAATTCTAAATGTCAGCAAAAGCCCCACAAGAAAGAAAAGGGAGACTCTTGAGATTAATTCATTCTTTGTCTATTTTTGCTCACTTTGACTATGTTAGATAATTTTTCTTTTATATGGATACTTCCTCCTAGATTTAGCTTAATAATTATTACCCACAAAGTCATAATTACTACCACAAAGTCATGAATTTATTTTGCTAAATTTTATACTAAATGATGCATTGAACTGTTTTTACATTTAGGTATAGGTCTCTGATCCACCTAGAAATTATGTTCTCTGATTTATGAATTTGGAGGGGTTTTTGTTTTTGTTTTTTTCTTTTTCTTTTTCCTGATCGATTATCAATACCTTATGTTATGCTTTGAAAATTAATTAATATTAATGGTAATAATTATTGAGTTAATAATAAATGAATAATAGTATTTCTTGAGATTACTTTCTTTACATGTTCATATATCAGTTTTGAGCATTCTTTTTAAAAGTTGTTGATTATATTTGTGAATAATAACTATCTTTTACTAAGCAATTTATTTAACACAACAATTTTCTTTCCAGTGCTTATTATATTAAGCACCGTGTAACTCTGGAATGAAGGAACAAAGAGTACACAACTGCCACTCTGCATTTACAATAATTGTTCCAGCAATCCAAGAGAAGGGATCACAGGTAAGTGACAAAGGTATGATGGGCAGTATCAGGCATTCCAGGTAAGCTCTAGCAATAGGTGATAGGCAGCACTGAGCACATCTTGAGGAGACATTTCAGTATTACACACACATATATGTTCACCTGGGCCTGCATGTCCTCTTAAATATTTGTTGATATTCTCACACAAACCTCATAATTCTCTTGTGTCTCAGAAGACAGCATTTGTTTTGAACTTATTCTTTATCACATGTGCTGTCTTACAATAGGAATGTGCCACTAGTTATTTACCTAAGTTTCATTTAGGCAGATTATTCACAGTTAAGAGTTTGCCACCTTAGTAAGCAAATGAAATTTCCCTGAATTAATACACTTTTTGCAGTGATTATTTTTGGGTGCTGTATTTTCCTTCAACTTTTGGATACATCATAGTCTGCAAACTATTATCAAGTCATTTGAAAATTCTGTTTCTTTTATTATCTTTGCAATATTATGTCATTTTCTAAATATGTTGCTCATCTTTTTCTGGGATCAAAGTAAAAAAAAATCAGATGATTGCTTTTAGATCTTCCATATTTTCTGAGATATGAATTCAGTTCCATACATTTTCCTCTAAGTTCTGCTTTCCTTGTATTCCACAATTATTGATAAATTTTTATTTTAATTGACATATAAGTAAATGTATTTTGGAGATTTTTTTGTGCCAGGGATTAAACCCCGAAGCTTTTAACCACTGAACCCCCATCCCCAGCCCATTTATTAATTTTTTATTTCAAGACAGGGTCTCATTAAGTTGCTCAGAACTTCCCTAAGAGGCTTAGACTAGCTTTGTACTTGTGAACCTCCTCCCTCATCTTCCTGAGATGCTGGGATTACAGGTGTGCCCCACCTTGCCCAGCTGAGTTTTCTTTATGTTTAGCATAGTATTTAAAATTGGTTATTTTATCATCATAAGTATGGGTATTTTTTAATTAGTTTTTGATTTTTTCTTTCTAGTGTGATTTCATATTGACTTGAGAACAGACAAGATATTATTAAATTTTGAGGTGTATTTTATGTCCACAATGTGGTACATGTTGGTGAGCATTCCATGTGGGCCTTATAAATATATGTATTCTGCCTATTCTTGTTTAAGGTAGTATAACCTCACAAGGTTCAGTTCACTGCTGTCCAGTAGAGTCAGTGCAGCTAGAGGCAGATAATGGAGAAAGAAAGAGCTTTGGTTTGAATCCATCCTATTTATTGATTCTTGGTTTTAATTCTTGTGCTATAGAAGTCTTATTAAGGAAGTTGGGGCCTAATCCCACATGATGAAGATTAGGACCTACTTTTTCTTCTATTAGACACAGAGTCTCTGGTTTAATTTCTAGGTCCTTGATCCACTTTGAGTTGAGTTTTGTGCATGGTGAGAGAGAGTGGTTTAATTTCATTTTGTTACATATGGATTTCCAGTTTTCCCAGCACCATTTGCTGAATCTTTTTTCCTTTAGTAAATACTATTTTAAATTTGAGGATACATGCTCTGTTTTTAGTTCATTCACATGTAGGCAGTGTGTTCTTAGTCCTTCTTGGAATACCTAGGTTTTAGGATTCACTTTTCATAGATTGTAATAAGATTGAGCATATTGTTTCTTTCCCAGAAGTGTCATCTACAACTCTTCAGAATGCTCCAGAAAAACTTATATATCCATTAGTTCTGGAGAGAAGTTTACTTGGGCATTTGAATAAAATGTCACTGCTTGAGGGGTATACTGATCACTTTGGCATATATAGGACACTGTGTTTTAAAGTCACATCACAGATGATATTTCAATGGCTGGAACACAAATATACCTTGAGATTCAACTGATACCCCTGCGACACATTTGAGATCCTTAGCTTTTTTTCTATCTTTTTTTTAGTAATTATTAGTGAATAAGTAGCAACTATGCCCAAGGGATTTATTTCCTACTGTCAACTGTACCAGGGGCTCCTTTGGGGAAATTTGGATCAGCTGAGTCAAATCTGTAAGAGCCCAAGGACCTCCTCAGTCTTCATCTGCTCTTTCTTTCTTCCGTAACATCTGGGGAGCATACCCAGTAGTGGACTCTTCCCATTATTTCTTTGGCAATAATTGTTCTTCTTACAGTAAGTACACTGTTTATTTTACTTAGGTTGTGCTTGCCTTTTTCAACAGATCTTCATTTTCCTCCAAAGGTCAGGCACAAAGCAGCTGCTTGGTGGTTGAATACTTGCTTCTGACACTGGTTTCAGTTGTTGAGAAACATAGTGTCTATTGATTGATAGGAACTCATTCAAAATGTACCATCTTTCTTTTATAATTTCTTTCAGATATTTGGAGCACTGTATCCTATCTGTATAGTGACTGAGGCTTGATAAATTCTTGCCTTAAATCCAGAGGAATTCTTGTCTAGCTATTGAAAGAACTCTTGTATTTTATAGACACATTTCTGATTTAAGAATCCTCAGTCTTATTCCTGCCAGAATACAATAACAGTTAAGACTTAAGAGGACCCTGTTTTCTGCCTTATTTAGTTCCCATAGTGGGTCAACTCTAAGGAAAGCCTTAATTACCTGCAAAATAGTGGCAGAATCTTTCATAAAGATTCTTTGAATGTTCTTTCTCAGTTTGTACATGACTGTATTAGTCAGCATGTCAGTGCTATCATTTATACTAAACTCCGTAGTATGAATGATGTAGAGAAGGGAAAGTTTATTTTGGGGCTGGATTTGTGGCTCAGTGGCAAAGTGCTTACCTCGCATGTGTGAGGCACTGGGTTCAATCCTCAGCACCATATAAAAAATAAATGAGCAAAATTAAGTTGTTATGTCTATCTACAACTAAAAATATATATTAAAAAAGGTTATTTTGGTTCATGGTTTCAGATGTTTCACCCATGGTTGGCCAGTTCCACTGTTCTGGACTTGAGGTGAGGCAGAACATGATAGCAAGTGTTTGCCAGAGGAAAACAGTCAGTTTATAGCAGCCAAGAAGTAGAGAGAAAGAGAGAACAGGAAGAACTAGGGGCATGATATACTCTACCAGTATTCTCCCTTAATGACCTTATTTTCCAGAATATGCCATACCTTACTATAGTTTCCACGACCTTCAAGAAGTCCTTTAGGGGATTAATGGATTAATCTACTGATGATATCAGAATCTTCATGATCCAGTTACTTCAACAAAGCCTCCCTCTTGACATTGTTGCATTAAGGAAAATGATTACAACACATGAACTTTTGGAAGACATTCCAAGTCTAAACAATAGCATTCTGCCTTTAGTCCCCATGAAGCTATGCCATTTCACACTTCAGATTTCAAGCCATTAACAAGACTTCCCATCGTCTTGTAAGTTCTAGCATTGTTCAGGAGTCCCCAAGTTCAAGGTCTTCTCTGGAACGCAGAAAACTCTTAGCTGTAAGCCCTTATAAAAATCAAAAGAAGTTACATATACTGAATATGTAATTACATAGAGTAACAGTCCTATTCTGAAAGGAATAAATAGGAGCCTAGAAAGAAGTGATGGGATAAAAGCAACACGAAAACTTAGCAGGATAAATATTAAGTCCTTAGTTCCATATGTGGCATCCAAGGCTTGTGGTGGTGAAACCTGTTACCCCAAAGGGCTGGAATACCCTTGCCCCTACAACCTTTTTGGCTATAGCCAACATGACCTTTGTCCTGGGCTAGCTCTATGCACTGCCTGCAGTTTTTTCCATTAGGTGTTACATGTTTCTGGCATCTCTAACTCTTTTAGGTCTCCATTTGCAGCTTAACCCTGGTCTCTTAACATTGCCTGGGCTCCCAAGCTTTTCTTTGAAATCTTGCTAGAGATTTCCATGATGCCATCTTCAGCCACAGGACGGCAAATACCTCAGTGTACCAATTTACCAATGCCAAAGAAAGAACTTGGAGAACTCAGTGGAGAGGATTTGAATACTATATTACCCACTTCTCAGTGGAGAGAGGCTGGAATACAGTGGAGAGTTGTACTGCTTCTACAAGCAGAGGTAGAATCTAATATATATATTAGATTGCATGCATACTAGACAGAAGGACTTCTCTCAGATGTTTTATTATTACATTCTTTACAATTAGGATTATTCTGTGAAGATGCTCTTCAAAATGTAGCCTATAAGTGAAATGGCTGCTTCCCCTCTCAAATTTCCTTCTTTATCATATTCTTTAGAATTGTCCTTGTATCCCTGCAAGCTTTCCAAGGCATTGAGTAGTGTTTAACCCAATAATCCATCCCTTCAGTGTCTCATAAGCACTTTTATTCCCACATAATATTGTACCAACCTATGTCTTTCACGAAACTCCTAAGACTGGACTCTGGAGCACTTTGTATGTATTTTAACAACAGCAGTAAAAAGAGCAAGGACCAGTCAGTAAGCATTGTAAGTAGTGAAGATAGCATTATTTTGTTTAAACTCTTGAGTTAAAATATGAGAGGTGTTGTGTTTTAAGTCCTGACTGTTCTATTTTATCCAATTCCATTCCATCTCATTTATAAATTTTCTTCCACAGGGAAGTCCTTGTAATGCAGTCATAGGGCACACAGAGCAAATCCAATAGTCAGTCCAGTGGGCATAATGTGCACCTTTTATTACCCATTCCAGGAATAGGTTACTTGTTGATCACCTTATGGCTCCAGTAAGAAAAAAAATAGCTTCATGAGGAGGTATATATAGTATATGATCTTGTGCTACTAAAATGCCTTGTACAGTAAGCTTGCCTACACAAGTGTATCACACCAATATTTATGTTTGCACTTCAAGAATAGAGAAAGCAAGATACCTCTGGAATGTATAACTGGTAAACTGGTTTTCTTAGTTAATGACACCTGTTTTGCTCAATGTTTTATTGTGTGACCAAAAGACCTGACAAGAACAGCTTAGAGGAGGAAAAGTTTATTTAGGGCTCACATTTTCAGAGGTCTCAGCATACATGGACTCTATAGCTCTAAGCCTGAGGTGAAACAGATCATCATTGCAAAAGGGCATTGCAGAGCATAGCA